CAGTGAAATACAGTGACAGCAGTTTTCTTAACTAGCAAGAAGGAGGAAGATAGTAAGCACTACGCTCAGCAATGAGTCAAAGTGAGGCAACTCCAGAACAAATGCTGAAATTGCATTTTTTCACCCTCTAAAAGCACCTTTTATGTAACTTACAATTACTTAAGATAGGCATGCCTGTGAAGAATAGCACAGACTTGAACTTAAACATTATGGCATTCTAAATCAGCTAAACAAAAGACACAGCTGCAGAAGCTTTGCTTTCCTGTACTTATTTGCAACCCACCTTGAGACAGCTGCTCTTACTACTGCCAAACAGCTTTTCTCTGCATCATCTTGGAAAGTGCAGTCCTCCAGGAAAATCATCTCCCTATTAATGTCTTCAGAGGCCTCACATGAGTGAAGATACACAGAACAACAGACTAGTTAGTCTGGTCTAGAGAGAACCAGGCCTAATGACCGTATTACTTCTCCAACCTAAGCAGACTTTGGTTAATTAAAGGTACTTCCTCTGAATCTCAGCCCTCCAAAGCAGAACTCATGGTAACTCAGAAGATGTCTGTGCAATGGCTGAGAAATGCAAGCTGGTCTGTGCTAGTGAAAACCATTGGACTTGGAAACAACAGGCGTGTGAATAGTGCATTCAGAAGAACAGAGACTTCCATGACAAGGATGTACAGAAGTATATGATGATTCTGAAGTAAAAATTATAAAGCATTTTCTACAGAAAAATTTCCTTCCCCTCTAAATATTCAATTCTTGAAGATCATTTCAAACAATCCCTTCCTGCATTTCAGCTTAATGGCAAAATCTGATCTTGACGACTGCTCACCACTTCCTCCTCTAAGTACCACTTAATGCAGAACTGGCCTTAATAACAACACAAATCTCACTGAGAAATGCAAAAGCAAGGCAGATGCAGAAGAAAGTCCCCAGATTCACAGTAAGTGTTCTGTAAGGTAAGCAGAATTTTATCTAAATAAAGGAAACAATACAAAGATGATGACAACCATTTCTAACAAGTCAACACTCATCTGTAAGGCACAACCAACTCCTTACCTTTTCTTGACGTATGTTCAATGTGAGGTATTGAAAAGAAGTTAAATCTATCCTGTAGTGATTTTTTAGAATTACAGATAATTTGCCTAAATTTTAAATGACATTTTTAGACTACCATTTGCTTGTAGTTTTAATAATTTTTGAATGACTGCGAAAGCATGAGCAGCCTTAATTTAGTTTTTTGGAAGTCTGTGTGCAATAAAAAAATAGCTCCTCACACATCAATAAGAATTTCTGCTACCTGTAAGAATTTCTCTTACCTATGATATCAAGCTTAAAGTACAGAGACACAATTACCTGGCTGTTTATGGGAAGAGCAGTAAATCAGAAGTTTCTCTAACATGATGCACACAAAATGCAGGTGACACTTTTATGGCAAACTAAGTCAAGCAGTGCTCATCTGCTGAGAGCTACAAATGATAACTAAAGCTTTATGCAGCAACCAAACATTTCCATGAACAAACCCCTCGTACCTTGTAGTTCAGGCAAGCTATGTGAATATTTAAACAGACCTCTGGATTTAATAGTATCACTTTTTCGATTCTATTCTCTATGAGATTTGGTTACAAATTAACAAAAAGCAGCAATTAAAGAATGAGACAATAAAATGTCTCTATTTTTAGAGTAAGGCTGATTATTTACAATGAGTAGACGATTAGTCACTCATTACAAATATTTGTTCTGTTTCCTTTAATTTTGTCAGATAAAGTTGTTTATCTGATAGATGCCTTAATGTAAATCTGAGAAAGTGGCTTTTAAGGCCAGTTTTTAAACTGTGGGAAGCAAGAGTTACTCAAGATCACATTTTGTCTCAGCATCTTTTTCAGAAGGTACCAGAAATCAAAGCTGAAATGTTCAAAGAATTATTTTCAAACAGTTCAGCTTGGGGGGACCTTTGAAAGCAATTTAAAGACTTTTACCTTTAGAACAAGCTCTACCCTTTAATAATCTACATTAGTCTTACAGTCTATACTAATTTTCTATTTTATTTTTAGTTATTTTTTCTTTAGGCCAGAAATTGGAAAAGCATTAAATCCTAATAAAGATAAAAACATATAAAAAGATACTCTATATTATCTATATAAATAATATTTGTATTTCCTGCTTTTATTTAAATTAAGTTTTTTATATATGTAAAAATATGGATGTATTTTGAGACGTGTTGCAACAGATGATAGGTTTGTCCTGCATGTTAACAATAGAATGGAAGAACATTTTTTATTTCCTGGTCTAAAAAAATTTCATCAAAGCATTTTGATTAGTTTTGAAACTAAATGCCCTTGAAACAGCTTTCAAAAAGCTGCTTAACTACATAATTATTTTACTTCTAAGACTGCAGAACCAAATTGATGAATCACAGAAACCAGCTATATATAAACTACTACTGCTCAAGATACTCTAATGATGTTATCAACCACTTCTGAAGTACTGGATAAAATAAAAAAGAAGGAGGGCAGAGAACAAATAATGTTTTCTTCATCTCAAGAGATGTTTCAGTAAGGAGGTACAGAGAGAAGAGTCTCAAACAAGAATGGGTTCAGTCTTGATTTAAGAAAAAAATACAGCATTACAGAGCCAAAGATTGAACTTAAATTATATTCACTCATTTTAGCATGAGCAAAATCTCATCAAAACTGCAGTCTCTGAATACCTTTGTGAAGTTATGCAAAGATGAATGCTGCAGCACTCCTTTAAGGAGAAGTGACACCATAAAAGCAGAGTCTGCAGCTGCTCACAAGCTGCTCCTGAGTCATGAGATCTGGGACAGGCAAGTCATATTGGCTCTGACATTTACTAAGGAATGAAATATCCATAGTTGGTTTTAAATTACGTTATTTGAGAGTGCTCCTGTACTTGAAGCAAGTGAAAAGAAATTTTGATTTCCTTCTTCAAACAGAAAATGGCTGAATCATTCACAAATACTTCTTACAGTATTTCTGTTCTTCTGAACATAAGAGCAAAGCAGCATGTGTCAAAGTCAATTAAGGGACAGAACAGCAAGGTGTTCCTAATAAAAAAATATTGTTCACTTAATAGCTCACTCTTCACACATCATGTTATATTTGTTTTCCAAATACTAAGTTAGTATTTGGAAATACTTTTAAAGTTCACATATTGTCTCATTTAGCATTAAGCCTCTGCAAAAGCATGAATGGCTGCTCGTTTAATGACTTGTTTTAACATGCTGGAATTGTCTCAAAACAAGCATGTAACCCATGAGTTTTCATCTTCTCTGCAAGCAATATTTGAATTCTTGCCCCTTCATATTGACTCATTAAATTTGCCATGTCAGGAGTTGGCAAGATAACAGGAAAGAGAATGATACTGATCTGGGTATCAGAAGGTTATAATTTTTGGAAGGCAACATCATCCAGCTTTGTTGATAAGATTATGGGAAATAATTTGATTTTCAACCTTGTCCACTTTCTACTTAAGGAAGTTACTGCCAAATCATGAGCCACAGCAAAGCCCAAGTCTCGTAAACACCTTCATATTGAGTAGTTTAATCTACTTCAGTGGAGTAGAGAACCACTTAGTACAGAGAAAATAGTATCAGCATAGAGAAACAGCTTTTTGGGCTATTCTCCTGGACAGACTTTTGACAGACACAAGTTTAACTCCCTGTCTCTTGGCAAACTCAGTTTAAATGGAATGTTTCTTCCTCTTTTTTTTTTAAGAATACTGCCTTTATGGGAGCCATCATCACTGACACCTTCAGTCTCATCTTCCTGCTGCCCTACCCCCTTGCTAGCAGGGACAAGGTGTTACATCACAAAGACCCACTTGCAGCACACCAAGGACAAGCACTGTAACCAAGTCCTTTTTGCAACTGATACTGGCACCTATTTATCAGTCTGCCTTGCTATTCTGCAAAACAAGGTGCCATTTCTGCAGAGCCACATTACAAAATGTACAGAATTAGTCATCTAACCAGTGCTGTGCTAACTGATGGGATGCATATCTGCAATTTTCATTTCCCTGCTCCCCTGCCCTTCTTTGCTGTTACACCCTGAGATACACATGAGCCAACAAATGGCTGATGAGAGATAAGCGGAACTAAAAGCAAATTATGTAAAAACCAAATAAATGACTGCAACTCCACTGCCACAGATTTACTGATATTTCTTAATGTGTACCTTTGAAAGTATCACACATTTCAAAATCTTTAGGAGAAATGCTGCAATATCACAGAATGTCAGTCAAGTATGCAAACACATCCAGTGCTACTGTGCTAGACCAGCAGACAGTTCAGTTCAAGCGATTTCATGCCAAGGAGTAAAGAATGAAATCAGTAGTCAGAGGTCAGCTCCATTACAGCAGTCCCAACCCATAAAAGAAATTACTCCCATTTCATAGATTAACTTGCAAAGTATTAGAGCAGCAATGAAACACTGTGGTTAAAGGAGAGATTTAAAATGAAAACAACCAAAAACCAAACAAAAAACAGACACTGGAAAACCAGATTTTGTCTGTTTTCTGTATTTTCCAAATATGCTTCCAGTTCACTTTAGGAGGCTTCTTTCAGCTCCAACCATCCCAGCTGGCAGGTAGAAAGGATATAAAGTTTGCCCATTCTGGTAACAAGGGAAAAAAGCTGCAGTTCTACTGCGTGCTTACAAAGCACTGCAGGACAAGGAAAGTCCCTGAATTCAGGCACAGCACCCTAGCAAGCATCCCAGACTCACAAGGATGGGGATAAAGGAAGAGGGAGGCAGGCACTTCGGCACCATGCCACTTGAGCAGAGCCTTCCCCCACCTCCGCTCTGTGCTGTTTGCCCATCCAGCCACTTGCTTAGCACACAGAGGGTACTCAGCATAGCTCAATGCTACACTCTACTATGAAACCTGGCTCTACTGTTTCCCATGAATTCTAAAATTACTGTTTTATTGTTTAGCATAGAGCTAAACCACTGGGTTACAAAGAATTGTAATCAGCATTTTACCTGTATAGGTGGCTCAATCATTATCCACGCAGGAAGCATCAAACTTGGGTTAAGAGGTTGAGTTCCTACACGGAAATAAATGCCACCATTGGTGTCACAGGCCCAAACATGCTGATTTCCACAGGTCAAGCTGATCAGCTTTACACCACCTAATAACAAAGAGATTATTAGCAACCTGGCATTTTCCTTTCAAATTCAGTTAATAATCACAACTTGTATTTAGACTTCATTGTATTAAGCAAGCTCAAGTCACATAAAAATGATTAGAAGTTAATACAACTTGTGGGAGAATAAAAAAAATTGCTGGATACAATGAACAAAACCAACAGGTAGTACATATGTGAGAAATTTCTTCTAAACCTAAAAATAAATGTTTTAGACACAGGAGAGTGCAATTTCTAAAGCACATTATAAATACTCTATTACAATAACCAAATTCAAGCAGGGAACCATTCCATGACAAATGTTACCAGTGCCTAGACAAACTTTCACATGACCTAATGTGAACTCTTCTCTGTAACTGGCCATGCTTGGAGACTTTTAAAGGTGTCAATCTGATAATACAGTCAGCAAAGAACATTCCTAACACCACCAGCATTTCAAAAATATGACAGCATATGGGTTATGCATTTCAGTGTTAACATACCAGTGTCACATCTGCAAATAAATGAACTGATTTTCAAATGGATTTATATTCACCGCTGTACATATTTATTACACCAATCTCAAATGTGCAGCAGTAATTTAACCCTGTCAGCACCATCAAAACAAAGCTGCCAAATAAGTGTTTGTTGGAATTTTGACATGATTTGTGTTCGGGTTTAGTCTAAATTCCTGCAAAGACAGTAGAGATGCAAAACTGGTATTTTAGACAAAATGGAACTGCTAGTTAACTGTCTACTGAAACTCTTACTCTTTCAAATTAATTTTAAAATAGCCACATGATGCAATGTATCTAACATTTGATTTCCTTTTTTCACCCCATGTTGGACAAAACGAAGCTAAGTAATGGAAAACAAGTTCCAAAGAAAGTGGGACCCAAGCAGTACAGATCCACTACAGAAGGAATGCTCTGGTCAGACTCCAAACTAGAGACTCTAAAAATAGGCCTTGCTGGTTAACTGAACATGCCAGTGCTGCTTGGGATATCCCATTCTTGGTAACAGTTCTGTGTTCAGGGATGTGAAATTTGGCAACAAATCCTTGTAAAGTGCATCAGACACAGCATTCCTTAAAGAGGAGCTTGGAATTTTATCCTACACAGTGCAAGTTCAAAGTATTTATTTCTGCAAATGTAATATTCCCAATTGTTAGGGCGTGCTGTGGAAAGGAACAGGAAACAACAGGACAACACAGCTTTATCTTTTAATTATTTGTAGTAAACAGATCTCATTAACCAAAATTATTTAATTTTCTGAATCGCAGGAATATAAATCAACCTATCTCATCCCAAAATTTCCTTTAACCAGAAAGCTTCATATAAAAACCAAAACGACAAACAAAAACTTCAACTGCTTGGCATGAGAACATCTATAGCAACTTTCTTTTGAGAATAGAGGCTTGACTTTGAGCTGCAAAGCCAAAACCTTACTTAAAACCGTGTTATTCCTTCTAATAAAGTATGCCTCAAAGCAATAGCTTTGTCACATGATACCTCAGCTGTCCAAGTGTTCTGATCCAGACAAGCATCAGGCACTCAAACATGGAATCACATATCACCTACCCAGCATAGCTGGTATTATTTACGTCTCCAGTACAATTTGATATTCAAAAACACAGCCCTTATGTAAATGTTTTGGGGTTTCTCCCTCCTCCCACCTACCATTTTTATCTTAGGACAAGGTAATGTTAACCAAATTCACCAACTGTTTTAGAGCAAGTAGCATGAACCAGCAGCATTGTTTATTGTCAAAACCTAAAGGTCATTCTACTGTGTTTAGAAACCTTGATGGTGATAGTGGAATGCTAATCAAAATAATCTACTGGGTGCTACTCCCAGTACATAATGTAAAAGGCAAGATACTACCAACATAATAAGAATATTTCAACCTTAATGCTGGTAAACCCCATACTTCCATAGAGAATTCTGAACTGCACTTTACAGAAAGTTGCTCCCACCCTGCCTGCCCTCCACAGTCACAGTCCTAATGTTTCTGGAGTAAACTTAAACAAACACTTGACACAATAACTCTCCAATTTCTTCAGCCCCATTAGAACAAATAAAGGTTTTTCTTTTATAGCCATGGATTTCCACTTGTCAAGCAGTGATGTACCACATGCAATTAAATGGAGAAAAAAATGTCTAAAATATTTTCACATTTCAGTGCTAAACCACAGTGACAGGTACAGTGGAGTGTTTGAGTATTTCCTGATCCCAAATCTCTTCTATGCCACCACCATGTGCCAGAGCTGACAGAACAGCTGAATGTAAAGGTTGAATTTCTGAACTGCTGAGTTCACAGGCCAGGTATTACAATCAGCTAACACCAATTGCACTGATTTCCTGTATGAATTATTTTGAGATTTTCAGACAATGTCCAGAAGTTACTTATTTTTTCAGTTAAACAGTTACTGTGTAAACTGCTGAAAAGTAGTGGTTCATTAGAAGAGTTTCAAACCACACTAAAGAACATGAGAAGGACAAAGTGGCCAAATCTATCCTGTAGTCCAGTAAAAGGCACCAGTGTTTAAACTATAGTATGATGAGTGATTTGGATCCAATTCATCAGGTCTGAAAAATAACTGGTGTAGCACTGAAAAACAAGTTAATTTTAAAAGATACTGTTTATAATTTTTCCATGAAATATTATAAACTATATACTAAAATTGTACATGAGGCTTAAACTCTGATAGCTGTGTCTGTCTTTCCTTAAACCTTAAGTTAAAACTGCTTGTCTGTTATCAGAGTCATGAACATTGCCATCAAAAATGGAAAAACTGCAAACCAGTTGAATTATTTTTAAAATGATGAGAGAATAGTGCATAGTCTTAATTTCCTTTCTCTTCACCTGAAACAGGTGTATAGATTAGCACAAATGTAAGAATGTTCTAACAGTCAGACTATTAAACAAATAAATCTGATGAGAATACTACTCATGAAGGTGGCAAATAACCTGATTATCCCAGAGCCAAACTCCAAACTGTGACTACATTTCAGTGATCAAATCATGGCCAAGGACCTAAGCAGGTGAAAAGAGCAGTTAACCAGCATCACATTCTAAGCATTATGCTGAATGATTACATCACTATAAATCTGAACATGAGTGTTATCAGCTGCATCACTCATGAATGATTCAACTCTTGGAGCATAATTCTTCCTTGGCAGGAGCTAAAAATGTGTTTAACCATAAAATTCAGATGTTTGTTCCCTAATCAGGTGACTATGGCTGCACTGAGGTACAAGAGCCAGCCTAGTTAAAGCTGCTGGAGCCCCTGCACAGCACCATGTCAGGCTGAGCCACTTCAGAGTGACCAGCTGCAAGATGCACTGAACACACACCAAATACCTTGCAAACAGGAATCTTCTTGTCTCCAGGAACAGGCTAAACAGAAAATTCTTTGAAAGCCACATCTGATCCTGATATTCTACAAACACCCGCCAACAGGTACTATTTAATCCAGTAAATGTTATATTCGACACCAGTAAACTGAAAGATATTTCTGGAAAATATGGTGTGCTAAGAGACAGTCTATTCAATAAAAGTGTCATACCTAGTTGGGAGAGATCCAGTTTTGTCCAATGCATCCCTGTTGGGCAGCTGGAGGAAAGTGTTCTGATAAATATCTGCCCGAGACTATCCAAGCCCCAAATGGCATCCTGGCAGGCAGAGTAGTGCACCATTTCAGCCTCCGGTGGCAGCTGCACCGTAGAAGGACGAAAATGAGGATTCTGATCACTGACACAAAACAGATCCTTGTTGCTTTGGCACAGCCACAAAAAGCTTCCTATGGAAAGGACACTTCTGTTATTAAAATAATTCCTAATCCACTCTGAGAAAGCTTACACATCTACTTTTTCTGAAAAAAAATATCAGTACATTTGAAGGCAAAACTAAAGCTTCTTGGCTATGCTCATAGGGTAAAGCTTTGAAGTACAAATACACAACCTAAGCTCTTATTTACGCACTTAAATACTCCATTTCTCAAATAAAGGAAGTAGTAAGTGATCTCATTTGAAGAAATGTTTCATTTGAAGGAACTAATAGAGAGAAGACACATGTAACAATGCACTATCACCTCTCTTTATTCTTTTGCTCTTTTATATCCTTGATAATAGCCTTTGAAAAGCAGTATTCTTTTTCAGCTCTAAACCACATTTTTGCCACTAAAGCCAGTGTACTTAGATAATGCAGCTGCTAACTACTGTAACCAGCAGTTCAATTCCCTGACAGGGTCTCACTTTTAAAAATAATGGGCAATTTCGCTGCAGTAACTGCACTGACAGGAGAAGCACTTGGTTACTACAAGCATTTCAGCAAAGCATGCTCTGAAACTTCCAATTACAAATTCTGGCAATTCATGCTTTGGCAGTTTAGGAAGTTGCTGCTCCTGAGGACCACCCATTTCTCTGCTGAATGCCACTGCACACCAACGGGGTGAGTGAATAATACGTTATTTTAATCTCCAGTAGTCTTACAGATATACTTCCACCCTACTTCAACTACTTTAGATCCCTGCAAACAGAAAAGACAACCAAAATCTGAAGTAATTCAGGATATTTAATTACATACACCATCAATTCCACTCTGTTTAAAAATCAGATATTATACACCTGCACTGCTTATTTACCAACCTTCTTTAGATGAAGCTGGGGAAGCCAACACAAAAATCCATTTTGTGGCAGAAGCAGTACCACGAGGCACAATATTATTCCAATACGTGCCTTGAAAGAAAGAACGAGTGGCATTAACAAGAAACAGAGTTTTCTGTTAAAATTTGTTATTTTAAATTTAGAAGAAATTCTATTGCAATCAATTATTAAATATATTTTAGACAAGATTTTCTATTAAAATCTTCCAAGATACTCTCGGGGGGGAGGGAAGCCTCCTCCCAACACCTCTGTAAACACACAGAGAAAACTGTGAATGCAGAAGAGGATAAAGAAGAATATTAATGGTCTTCATTTGGTGATGAGGTATGCTAGAGGTATTGTTAGAGTTTACCTAAACAAATAAATGTACCAAACAAATATCCTATTTTGAGAACTGTAGCAAGAAAAATAAAGTAATCCCTCTATTAGAACTATAAAACTATAACATTAGTGTCTTGCACAGTCACACTGATCATGAGCCAGACTCTACTGTGCAAGATAAAATAGCTTCAGCAGCTTAAGATTGCCTTATCCCAGAGAAAAGACAAATGTAGGTGTTAAAAGCAGTAACTTGTGCACAGTCCACTGGTTGACAATGATTTTTCCATGAAAAATATTTCCCTTTAAATGAGAAAGTATTGAAGACCAAATGCTAATGAATAATTTAACTTAATTTTTTAACAAGTTAAAGCTGCCCTGACTTGCCATGGGTAATTTCTGTGGTGACAGAGCTGTAGTTAGTTATTTCCTTCTATTTAATATTCTTAACTTAAAAAAATTAAGATGCAAAAGCACACCAACCTACTAAGTTTCCCTTTGCTACATGGAATTCATTTTTGCCTGAGGAGATCCAGACTCCACTGCCATTGACTCCGAGGAGGCTGGGCTGGCACTGAAGCTGCTGTGACCAAAATGCCATTCGAAGCTTGTCAGCCACCTTCTCCACAGGTGCCTGAGCTGCTGTTGCCACCGTGTGAGTTGCCTGGATTATGGTCTGGAACAAGCTGCACTGGTCAAACACTACATAATCAGTGATGCTTACCTGGGGGAAAAAGAAAAAAAAGTGCTCTTGATAATTAGTTAAGCTCTGGGGTGAACTGCACAATCTTTCCCCAGAAGCTTTTTTAGAATTCAAAGTGTAAGAAGGGAAAAATAAAAATGGTGCATTTTGAGTAATTGTCTTGCTAATAAGCCACAATCAGTATTAAACACCAGCTTACAACTCCTTTCTATCCAACAATCCTTTTACAATGCTGCATTTTAAGATAGGCTTTTGTTTTAGGATGTGTCCCTCTAAAAATGTGCCAAACTCTGCAAACTAAGAAGTAAATTTTCAATTTCCCAAAGGAAGAGAAACTTGCACAGTGCAGCAATTCAAACCACATGACAAAAACTTGAATGCAATACTCCTTTGCAACTACCTCATGGACATTTTAATTCACAGTGCAGAAGGAGGTCTAAATAAGTAATTGCCCAAGTACTGTCATGGACAACTAGGCTGGCAACACTCTGGGATACTCCTAGAAAATAATGAAATTTCTAAGAGCACAAAAAGAGCAGCAGTTTGCCAATAACCTCAAAGCCAAGCTACTCACGATGCCCACATGCACAAAGGGATTATACATGCACATAGACCAAAATTCTTGTAACTAAGGTAGCATGTAGACCAATTTTCTGTAAGATTGTTTTTGTACTCCCTTCTTCCCCACCCCTATCTCGGGAGAAAGCAAGAAAAGCAGGAGAAACCAGAGGCAGGAATTCCAAATCAATGCCAGACAATAACTGCAGTAACCAAGCTAGTTTCACCCACATGAGCTGTGGCTGAAGCAAGCTCCACATGGCTCAAAGAAACCTCAACTGAATGGAAAAATGTGAAACACATTCTTTTGTATGGTGACTTATTATTTATTTTCTCCATCTAAGGAAAAGGATGGGCACTAAAAGACAAGAGAAGAGGCTGCATTCAGCAGCCAGACTTGATGCTCTGCCTCAACAGCATGTCCTATGACCTGGCAGAGCATTCTTGTGTTCTTGAAAGCTTCTGCAATGCTGCTCTAAATGACCACGGGATGGTTTTCCTTCCCTCTTTACAGCAGACACAGAAAGGGGATTTCAGCCATAGCCACACAGAAGTTTAAATATACTGAATAAAGTGTACTATTAATTGAATTTTTCCTTAGAATTTTGTGGGAAAACAACACAAATAATCAAACCAAGGTAAAAGACTAAACTGAAAGCAAAATTAAAAAATGCCTACTTGCCACCAATGGTTATCATCTCCTTGTGGTTTCTTTGAAACTATACCAGTCCTGAACCAGAGATTGCCATGGATATCCAAAGCCCATAACGTCTGCTGATCACCAAGGGTTATGCACACTGGTTCCAAAGCTTGCATTTCACTGGAAATGCAAACAATATTTTTAATAAAAATATTAAAAACCTTAATTCAAATTTATGTTAATGGTATTTTAAGGAAGCTGTTACAATGCTAATAGTTTAACACGGTTGAAACTCAGTGGGGCCAAGCTAAAAAACACATTTGACATTAAATTTTCAGTTATTCAGTACTTTATATTTTGTTTAAGTAAAAAACATTCAACAACAACAACAACTACAACAAAAACAAGTCCTTCAAAGATCCTCAAGATTTGAAACTTGGATACATAACAGTAAAACTAAACAAGTCCTATTTTGTTCAGTAAAGAAGCAATCAAGAGCTCTGCTCTTTAAGGTTTTGATAAAATAGCTTCATAAATCTATCTCCTCAACTTCCTTGACCTACTCTCAGAACAATACCTGCAGTTCAGGGACCACAAAGAGAAAACTCAACTTCACTATGTGACAGAGATAAATGCTGAATTTAGGACTGTAAGTTTCCTGCATAAGTAAATGATTTTCAAGCTCAGAAAGTCAACAGGGTCAGGTGATCATATCAGACACTGAAAAGGTAGCAAACAATGCTAGTTCTTTCAGATAACCTTTCTTGACAATTTAAGAACAAATAGTGACTGCCTTCTGCAATTTTAACACAAAGCTCAAGAACATGAAATGTACCTAAGGTGTAGGTCAGCAGGTATTTTCATTAAACAAACTCATTAGAGTACGAGTGAATTTCACATTTGAACAAAGACACAGTAGGCTCTCAGACAGTTCAAGAACCAAATACCAGGCTGGGAGGTAGCACAAGTTAAGGTTTCACAATAGGATATTCAGTAGATAAAATCTCCTGACAACAAGACTTGAATCTAAATATGTGCCAGGCTGATGCCACAAGAGACACTAAATTCTACATTCTCAAAGCCAGCAGTAGAGATTCAGTGCTTTTAACTTTATCACAGAGGAACTACTGTGGGCATAGGATCAACTACAAAGCTAAACACCAACGACACAACGTATTTATAAAAATCTGTGGCTGGGGAGTGCAGAAGTGTTATCCAGCTGCGTGGACTGTGTGGATGACCAAGAAAATGCATACATTTCATCCCAGGGTAAAAAAAAAGAAAGAGAAAAAAACCTCTCAAAAAACTAGAGAGCTCCTTAAAACCATTATGCCACAGATTAAATAAGCAATATTTAACAGAAAATCACACTGACAGACATTATAAAGACATTTTAAAATTTCTTCTCATTCTTTAAAGCTGCTTGTGTTTATGACAATTCCTTTCATTACATAGCAATCATGGATGGATGGATGGCTGGCTGGCTGGCAGGAAGGAAGGAAGTACAGACAGACAGCTAAAACAGATATATCCACACAAGAGCGGTATATAGACACAGAAGCTCAGGTAATACTTTTTCAAACATCAAGGAGCTCCAGCACAATTATTTGTGTCGTTCTGGTTATGCCCAGCACGTCCCAGCAGAGTCATTACCTGACAATGTCACTCTTCCACTGCTCTCCCTCGGGACAGAAGCTGCGCACTCCCTCGCGGTAGAGCAGGGCCCGCTGCTCGCTCAGAGCCCACACCACATTATTTCTGGATGTGACCTGTGACAGTGGATAAGGGCAGTCAACCTTTACTGCTCGGGCACAAGGACGGTCCACACTCAGGCCTAGAAATCAGAAAATGAGGATTGCTTTACAAACTTTGGCTTTTTGCAAGAAAAAGGAAAGGGATAAAGCAACTCAATAAAAGGAAATGCAGAAGGGAATCTCCTTGACATGCTAACATTTGTCATTTGATCACAATTTCCTTGAGTGACTGTTCTTTCTGTAAACTACTAATAATTTCCTCTAATACAGCTGATGTTACATTTTAAAAAATAAGACACTGTACATCCTTCAACATCCTGCACAGTGCATGTCCAGTCCTGTCATTTCTGTTCCTTTTCTCCCTCTAGTGTCAGCACCAGGAATCTCCATTTATAAAACCTCTATTAGAGCTGACAGAAGCATCAAAGAAAAAGCCAGTAATGGAAGAACTTCTGCCCAGAACATGCCAGGGAGAGAAGCAACCTGATCTGAGTAGTGACAGCAGAGCAATTACAAAAGAGCACGCCACAGGGTGTAGTACTGAAAGGAGCAGAGAGGTTCTGGTAGATTTACAGGCAGTTTGCACATATTTCTACATCTAATCTACAGGAACATGTCTTCTTTATGATTACACTGAAGCTTGATTTACACCTATGAAACTTCATGTGAAACATCTCAGGAGACACAGCTTTTGTTTCTCCTCATGCTGCCAAAACCAGTATGAACAGACTCATGTCTATAATATATTCTAGACTAACAAGAACACTCATTTCTAAACCTCTGAGTGCACACTTCTGTTATAAATGTTACACAAGACAGTGAAGGGAATGAAAAGATCCTGGAGAAACAATTTTCACTGGCTGCCTCTCATTAGGAAGACTGATATATTGAGAATTTATTTTTTGCATCAAAAGACAAATTTGGAAGCCTAAGAACAGCAGAATGTAAGCTGATGTAATCAAACCAATCTCTCAAAGGGAAGAAAAATATTGATTCAAACCTCCACAGAGCCCTTTATGATTAGCATCCAAAATTTACTCTCCATCACCACTATCCATGCCTGTTGGCAGTATGCATGTGACCATAGGCAGGCCATTTGATGTTTCTAAGACTACTACAGTTAACTAAAAAAAAAAAAATTAATACAGTGTCTTTGAAACAGTGATGTGTACTTAAAACAGTTTTCTTAATCACTAAGAATTTTTGCATTGTGCTACAGTAAGTAAACCTAAAAGAGAAATTACGACAGTGCCAAAATGAAATGAAATGTAAATAAGAATTTTGATAGCCACTCAGACATGATGTCCTGTCTGTATATATCTAATACAGTTTGCCCTTGACCCAGTCCTCCTCTTGATTCACCAGTAATTCTTTCATCATGTTATTGGTAATTTTTCCTTAGTCACTCTGTGCAAGCCTCACATGCCTGAGAGTCCTTGGTACTTTTCTCCCTTAACTCTAAAACTAGTACTAACATCCTTCATTCTAGCTGCTTGCATTTAGCCTGAATATTTTTGCATAAGACCTTCCAAATACATCCTCTTCTATTCACTGAAGAACTTAAAACTAAGGCCACGACTTCAAAGTTGCCACTACACACTACCCCTTTTTCCAATTAGTGCCTCACTGACATCCAGGAAGAAGGCAGCTGCAGATTCCTGCTCCACAGCCCATTCTGTTCCCCCATGGCTTTGCTTTCTCTATCACATAAAACACATACCACTTGTCTATACTTCCAAAGCACTTCACTTCTTCTGTCTCAGAATGTCTTCCTGCCATTATCAAGTGGTAACTCTTACCTTCTAGAGATCTGTGCTTTTCAAAACACAAATCTCCTATTCTGCCCACTTAAGGCTGAGTTGTTTCAGTGCACCATACCACTTTCAAAGCAAGGATATTATTTTGATATTTTCTATAATCCTTTCCATTTATCTCCATCCATCTCATATCTGCCCCATGCCATAAATCCTCTGTACTGTATGTACTCAATGTGGCACACACAAAACAAGTGACCATGAACTAACTGGCTTTTCCAATTCTCCTAATTACACAAAATCTCACAACTCTTTCTAAGTGTTTCTCAAGATAAAATGGTTTCATTATGTTCTGGCTCTGGATAAAAGCTTGTAGCAAATTTAAATCATCCTATAGACTTGAAATCTAGTAATCTCAGCCCACAAAAATTCGAAGAGCCTGCAATTAATTCAGGTACCTGTTTGCAGATACAGATCTCCATTTGTTCTGATAATCCAGGCAGTGTCATCACTTAGAGCTACAAATACAGCCTGGGGTAAGGCCTCATACCAGTGCCGTTTTCCTTTTATAGTTACTTTTCCACAAGCAAAAGCTTTGTTAGTCTTCTGCTCAATCTTCCAGAGAAGAGCTCCTGTAAGAGAAGCAAAGAAAGAACACAATAGCACTCAGCAATTACTGCAACAGTCACAGGTGATGTGTCCCAGGTACACCTAAACTAATAGGAGGGGTAAAGCAAATCAATAGCATTAAACAAAAATGCAAGTTTAAAAAGTCCTTACTTTTTTTTTTTTTTTTTTAAGCAAGACCGTAACAGTAACTGACTTCTAATATGTAATAATATCTCAAAAAAAAAGATAACCAAATGGAACTCCAAACTTAATTGCTGGCTTGTACCAGAACAGTACACTGTCATATTAATTTCCTTTGAATGATTCCACAAAGTTGCATTTAATTCCATTTTGACATGCTGTGGGGTTAACATGCTCCTGCATTAACGCATCCATGGCAAACTGTGGATGCTAGAAACTTGCACAGATTCAGTGAAAAGCTGGGTGAATTCCTAGAACTGAAGGATAAGAAATGCAGAGGAACAACCTTTTTGCCCAGGCAATTTGAGCCACCAACAACTGCAGCCTGTACCTACCAAGAGCAAATATGACACACGCCCACGCCTTTCACTTTTCTGCAGGGACCCTGTTGGACCACTTTTAAGGGTAAGATACTGAGCTGGATGAACCCACACTCTCACCTACTACAAGTACTCTCAAATTGTTTTGGCTATAGCAAAACACAGCTACAGATCAAACAAAATTTTCTTTCTTCTTAAACCAGAGAGCAAGTCTTCCCCTACAGACAGAAGGGAAGACTGACATGTGCTTTTAGAGATGACAGGGAAGAAATGTAGTGGCAAGGCAGGAGACAAGGAAATTATAATGGCTGAGAAATTTTGTGTTTTCACTCCAGTCCTGGAACAATCTGGAAGGCCAAAAGTGACACAAATTTATAACCAAAACCTGCTTAATTTTAATCCTACATAATCCTCATTCACAACCATCCAGAACAAATGCATATGCAAATGTACTAAAACTTCAAAGCTTTTTTCTTCAGTATTTCAAAAGAAATCAAATCAACCAACCCACGCATACACAAAGCCAGTTCTACACTTACAAGAAAAAGAACTTTAAAATTGTGAATCACTGAATGGTTTGGGTGGGAAGGGATCTTAAAGATCATCTAGTTCCAACCCCCCTGCCAGGGCAGAGACACCTCTCACTTGACCAGATTGCTGAAGGCCTCATCCAGCCTGGCCTTGAACACTTCCAGGGATGGGGCATCCACAGTTTCTCTGGGCAACCTCTTCCTGTGCCTCACCACCCCCACAGCCATGAACTTCTATAGCTCTGTAACAAAAATCAAGGTTTTGTATAGGCAAGGAGCTCTTCTCTGCCTACCACTAAACTGCTACTTCTGAAGTTCACTTTAACCAGGCAAATAAATGCATGTTGAAAACCTCCCAAAATGCAATGTGAAACTGCTAGAAAGACATCCACTTGAACTAGAATATGAGATGCAGAGGTAGTGAAGATGCAGGCATATAACTGTGACTATTAAAAAAAAAACAAAAAAACAAACAAACAAAAAGAAATCCAAACCAACACAATACTTTTACATTAAACAAGCCCTAAACAAGCAAGTTTCTGGAAGTAATTGATTTGAAAACAAACAAACAAACAATAAACTGCCTATGTGGAAATTACATATGTACACAACTATATATGTAATCTCACAAAGATGACAAATAACACCTAATTAAATAATAACTGATACTAGAAAAAAAAAAAAAAAAAAAAAAAAAAAAAAAAAAAAAACAAAAAAAAAAAAAAAAAAACCAAAACAAAACAAAAAAAAACCCAGCACAAACAACCAAAAACCCCAAAAAACAAAGAAAATGTCCAACTCTACCCAAGTTTTATATTGACAAGACAACAGTGCAGCAGAAGTCAATCTACCTGAGGGGGAAACTGCCACTTGCTGGACTCCATCCTCAAACTTCTGCCAGCGCAGGCCGGCCGCAGGAAGGGCACTGCAGTACAGGCTGCCTCGGTAGTCCAGGCACCAAATGTATTTTTCTGAGACAACCAGGCTCAGGATGCCATATCCAGGGCCAGAGTAACCCATCCAGCTCTCTGCAAACTAAGAACTATAGAGTCAGAACAGTGTCAGGTGTCTCAAACTGCATAAGAAAATGAGTATATAAGAAGAGCAGCTCCCATATTTTGATTTTAAAAAAGCTAAACTTAAGTACTTTAATCAATGAATAAATTTGCCTTGTGTAAAACAAAGCAACATCTGTCACTGTTCTCGAAGGCTGTATGTGCACAATGAGACTGCTCCAACAAGATTTAGCAAAAAAAAAATAAACCCCTCCACCCCATCATCAACCTCCAACGAAGGAATATATAACAATATACAGCCTGTTTGTAGGCTAGGAAATTATTCATTGTCTAGGAAGTGATGAGCAAAGGGAACAAGACAGCTGAAGGGCAGAGACAGCTGAATATCCAACTCCAGTACTCTCTGTATGGTAGCGGAGCCATGTCTTGCAGAAATCTGGTTTACAGCCTGCTCTCTTAAATTTTGATTGCTTGCATGAGGTGAACTCAAGCACTGCATATATTACCAGGGGAGGTTTCTAACATGACAGAGTGTAAGAATACCACAACCTGAAACAAAAATCTTCTGCACTTTGGGCTGCAGTTGTCAGTAGATAGGACACCATCAACCTATAACTCAACCTTTATGAACTAATATTTAGTTGATGTCAATACAGGGTGTTACAGATCTAAAAGAGACAATATCCACACCCTACAAGAACTGCATTTCCTTCTTAAGACTTCTGCTAAAAGTCCCAGTAATTCTGGCAATTTTGCAGACTTTGCAATTAACTTTAGTACTTCATTTCTATAGTATCTATGAGGATTACCCACAAAATAACTATGAAGGAAAGAGGGATAACAGAAGAAGGAAAACTGTCAACATTTTAAACAGTACTAACTACTGCTGGCTAGGGGACAAAGACTAATCCTTATTCTGAGTATTTAGAGGTAAAGTAATCCTTAAGCAGAAGCCAGCCATGTGAGATAATTAGCATTAATTCTTCATGAAGTCAGCTGAATTTGGGAACAGCATCATGCAGAATTTGGACTACTGGAGATCCAAACAAGCAGCAGCCTTTGAGCGTGACTGGGTTTTACTGTTCACTCTTTAACGGATGGGTTTCTAACAGCATTTTTGTTGAGATGGGAATAATACAGCCAGAACAGCTTCTTTGCATTGCAAGCACACATCACCCATTTTGAAGTCAGATACACCACATTTTTTAAGAGTTACAACACACACTGTTGTTTGGCTTTATACTTTACTTGTGTATTGAATCAATTAAAAAAAAAAAAAAAGCTCTCCTAAAGATGTAAAAGACAGTAATTGCAGGAAGCTTTATTTTGAAAAGCTGTTTCTTTTTAAGGTTAAAGGTACTTTAATTAAACTGAAAAGAAATACCTGATCAGATTTTAACAGCACCATTTCATCTAGGCTTATCTTGGCTACATCCTGTGCTCCAGGCACAGCACCAACTTCAGGCATGCTGGTCTCCGAGGATGAATATGGTAATCCATGTCCATAAATATCCTCTTCATCACTTGAGGCAGATTTTTCAGTCTTACTTTCTTGAGTGTCTGCTACCCTTTCAGCAGTGCTAGTACTACATTTAGCTTTGATTGCACTTTCAAAATTCCACCCAGAAATGGAAGAGTTGTCTGAATGAACATTGTCAGAGACATCACACTGGAGTGCAGAAGGGTCTGACAGAGCACTGTGGATTAGAGACAGCTGCTGTTGGTCTTCCTCACCAGTTTCATCACTTTCCTTTGGTGTCAGAGATGTCTGGACACCAAGAATACTGTCACATTCCAAAAACATCTGGTCTGTAAGGTCTGGATCTTCAGAAGATTTTTCAGTATCCTGCAGTTTCATTTTATCCAAGTCTTCATCTATTTTACACAATGCAGGAAAATCCTGCTGCTCCTCCTCCTCCTGGCTCAGCTTTCCAGGACAGCATTCATTGCTCGTAGAAACCACACCACCATTACATTCACCACCAACACTGCTTGTCAAGTCTTCTGTGAGCATGAGAGGAGATGCAGATGTCAAAGTATCTATAATAGCTGAAGTACCCATGCCACTATCACTGTTTGGAAGTTTCTGTAAATCAGCCACATCTCCATTTTCTTCATTAATTAGTACATTTGCTGACTCAGGAGACTGCAGGACACTGAAAGTTTCTGAACCGTTATCTTCTTGCAAGATTGTATGGGATTCCATGCTGAACATACTTTCCTGATCCGGAGATCCAGTACTCAAATGATCAATGCTGCCACTCATTATGCTGGAAGTCATGGAAAAGGAGTCTGCATTCAAGGAATGTGGACTGTCACCAGAAAGCTGACGCTCGTAAATTGGTGTGCCTTCCAGAGAGCTGTGGTTTCTCCTTGCCCCACTTTCTGTTATCACACACACACATGAAAAATGAGAAAAGCAGTATTAATAAAATCTATTAAATCCCAGTGCCAAGCAAGAAATTAAAATATTTTTAGAACTGAAGGAAGAACAAAGCTAAACCTAAATTTTAACCACACTGAATTTTTTTCAACTTTACATTAAATGATACATATAAAGCCCAAAAAAGTCTTAACACAGTAAAAATTAAAATAATTGAGTACTCACACTACTTCATCAAACTAAAGAGGATGGCTAAGAAAGACACTGCCAAATATTCTAAATAGATTGAACAGATATTACACAATTCCAACATAAAACTGGACACAGAGTCCACTGTGTGGTCCCATTAACAAATACATTAGAACTCAAAGCATACTTACATAAAGGAAAACAAAAGAAATAAACTTCACACAGATCTAAAAAGACTTCATCAATTTATCACTTTTAAAGGAGATTTTCATCTTAAACAGAAATGACCCACCACAAGCCATCAACCATTTCAGAAGCACACCACCACAGTACACAGGAAGCCTGCCCAACAGAGACTCTTCCATCTAATGTGCTCTAACAACACGCAGTGTCAGGGAAAGTTCTGCTCCACCTACCCTGTTTCTTCTTTTTTTTCTTTTTCACTTTAATTGGCTTTACAATAAGTTCTTGATCAAAATCTTCAGAGCTGATGGTGCTGAACCGTTGTGAAGAAAGCTGACCTTCTCTCTGAGCTTCTGGAAGTTGGTCTGCACACATCATAAAGCTCGAGCCACTGTCCACGGAGTTCACAGAGCTGCTCCTGCTTCGTGATTCACTTACTACAGAGCAGCCCCTTCTCCTGGCTTCATTGCTCAAGTCTCCCACTCTATCAAAACTTTTCTCTGATAGTGTTGGAGTTTCCAGATCATCTTTCACCAAAGAAGTGCCATTTTTATCACCAGTGACTGAAGGGGAAGTAACTGGTTTTTTTTCTGTTTCCACTGAAGGGCTGGATGATACAGATGAAACTACTGATGACGGGGTCAGCAATTTAGGACTTGTATCTGTTAAAGGATTTGACAATTTTGAATTCACATCTGAAATTGTCCAAAAGAAAAATGAAAGCATAAATACTAGCTCAAGTATAAATACTAGCATCAAGTGAGTAGGGGCATAATTTCAGAGAGCATTGAATGAAAAGAATATTTATGAAAAAAGAATTCTAAGCTAATGACATTTAAAAATAAATGCCTGTGTGCATGCACACACACTGTAAACTCCCTGCAAATTAATCTATAAGAAAGCACTTCTCCCAAACCCTGTATCAAACTTCTATTAGTAAAATTCTGAATTTATGTTTATGTAAAAAGAACAGGACAGGTCTGCAGCTTGGAAGATCCAATTCTATCACACACTGAAGTGCCATCCTATATCTTTAACTTCTTCATTCAAAGATTCAGTAGCTTGAAAAAATCAAGGAAAATTATCAGATAAATCACTGTAGTGATTAGCAGAAAATGCACTTCTAAAGGCTCCCTTCAAACTATACTTGAAAGTTGAGATTAAAATAATAAACAGTCTCCAGAAGTTTGTGAGTAAAGAACTGCCTAAATGACTAAAACTATTGCCAACATGCAATGACAAGAAAGTTAAGTTCTCTAGCACTGAAAGAGACTTCATAGCACATTTATTAACATTTTGCTAAAACAAAGCTAAGATGCAGTACTTAAATGCTCCATCTTTCAAAGAGTTCTAGTAACATAAACGTTTAACTCAGATGGCAACAAGTATGAAACAGTCAAATTATTTTTTGAATTTTAGTGAGCGTTCTTTGGATTTATTTGCCAATTCTTTCTTTTTCATCGCTAGGAAGGCTGAGATATCCCCTGGAATGTGGCTGGTGACAGGTGGCACAGAATCAATGTATTCAGCTGTTGAGACTGATCCTAAAGAGATAACCATGATCAGGAATCCAGACTGCTTCAGCATCATGGTTCAGAATGAGCTCTCAAATGCGCAGATTAGAGATGCCTCGTTAGGTTAATGCTGATCCACTCTCAAAAAAAGGCAAGCATATTTAATTTCTTAATGCCCCCATTCTCACTGCAGGCAAAAGAGAAGCTCAGACAAGCAGATAAACCAGACCTCCAAATATTACCTATCAGAACAGATGAGTAACTCTACAGGACCTGGGAGGTTTTTGTAACAATCAGAAGGGATTTGTCTGAGGTTTGATGTGTTTCAGTTTTGTTGGTTTTGTTTTTTTGTTATTAAAAAAGGACAATAGGCACCATACTCCATGAGGTACACACTAATTTATACATACTGTTACTATGTACTATTTACTAATTTCTACATACTAAGCTTACTAATCTATACAAACCTATTGATGACAGTCCTTCAGGTCTATTTGAAATTCTTATTATGTCTCTATCTCCCTTTAAGAGAAAAATCTCGTTGTTGGTACAGGACACAGACACAATATCACCGTATCCTTCCAAACCACCAATCAAAGCCTGTGAAGAGTCAGCAGAGAAAGAAATAATTGGCATTAGATTAACACAGTGTTTGTACAACATGGTACTCTTAACAAAAGCGTTCCCTGGATTTCAATCAACATAAACAGTACAGGCTAAAGATTTTTATCTTATTAAAAAAAGAAAACAGAAAAAAGAAACAGAAAAGAACTTTTTAATCATGATGCAGCTCCATTTTTATACTAATTTAAATTCCACAGATCCATTCTTTGTCCAACTAAAGGCAACTAAATATAACAGCTTAAGCAATATACAATTTGGTGGCAGAAAAGTGCCACAGTATGAATATTTAACATCATTTAGGCAAAAATATACTAGCTTGTATCTGCATTCATATGCGTTTTTAAGACAACAAAATAGCTAACACTTGACTGTATACCAAATAAAAGGTAATACGTCTTTTTTAAGACACCAGCAGTGGTAGAAGAGAAAGAATAAATAGTTCCAGGCACATTTTATAGGCCTAAAATATCTTTCTGCACTAATTCCTAGACTGTAGGTTTCTATATGTTTCACTAAGCATCAGAATTAATTATGATGTTAACACCTTAACTGAAAGCTTTAAATATATGTAATTTTCATAAACAACATACTGAGCTAGTTGGTGAGTATATCATTGCAATGACAACTGGAAAAGGGAGACAATAAATATTCATTTTTTCTTGCTTTAAATAGGGATTTAAATCACAGCCATAGACTGTATAACCAAAACAGAGTCTCATGGCACAGCATGAACAAAAACATGGAAGAAACAAAATATGCAGCCACAAGATTTATCTACCTGGTTCACAGTGTCTAGTAAATAGATGCTGTATTCGTTCCAGGTCAGCACCCATCCTTCTTGGAAAAAGCATGACACAAGCCCAAGGTGTTTCTCTGGAGAGCTGTAACTTCCTCTGTCAGGTGGTTCTAAACGAGGATACAGTTCAAAAGTTTTTATTCCTCCAGCAAATACATCTTTCAATATGAATGTGGCCTGAACAGTCCCATGAACATCTGACTTCCACAGACGAAGCCCAGGTCTGGCAGCAAATAGTGTCAAGTCACTCTGTTTACACAGGCCAGGGATAAAACATGCTCCAAATTTGCCAGTGCTAAAATGCAAAAGAATTTATTTTAAAAGCTATATACTTAACTTTGAAACAATTTAAAAACTAATGGCACAAATTCACAAATTATCAGAAGTCTTTGATTAAAATATTTAAACGTCTGAAGTACAAATTTAGTTACAGTAAGACATGAACAGTAATTCCAAACAACAAGTTTCCCCTCAGCTTTGAATGTCAGACACTACATCAACTAAGCAAGTTAAATGACTCCTCCTAATAAGCTTCATAGCTTTAATGCCACTCTGTCCATCTCAAAAAGATCCTACTATGCACTCTTCCTTCTCCCAGAATTTATAAAAAACAACCAAAACACTACAAACTAATGTGAAGGAACTGGCAGACTTTACTTGCAAGAAGCATGGAACAGACCTCAGCTGCTAAACCCTTCCTCTTCCTTCTCCCAGAATTTATAAAAAACAACCAAAACACTACAAACTAATGTGAAGGGACTGGCAGCCTTTACTTGCAAGAAGCATGTTAACAGACCTCAGCCTTAATTTCACATACACAGAAACACCATTACTATCATCCAAGAAAACCCTTCACATATAAGATGGACCTTGGTATTCCTCTTACTATTCATATCCCTGAAAGATACATCATAAACCCTCTTTCAAGGGTAAATTTCGTCTCCTTAGAGACAGTCAGTCATGCTGTTCTATGACCGGGTTCCCTTTTCCTCACCCGAGAGGGATTACATAAAAGGAGATGTCAAAGCCACACAAGAGGTTCCTAGTCTTCAACTCAAATTTAAGTGCTTACTATACATTCTGCCTGTTAACTCACTTCAGTGTGTAAGAAAAACAGGGATGATGACTTGCTTTTTGCATCAAATATTACATCACCCATTAAAAAGACGTGACTACAACGCTTGCTCACTGCAAGTCACAGTAAACAAAGAGGGACTGCAGAGGAAGTTCGGCAGTGTTTTCAGTTTAAAAAATGAGAAAACATCTTAAATATTTTTGCCTAATACTGCCTTGAAAATGTCATCGTGACATCCTTGCAACCACATGCTTTCTAAATAGGTATAATTGTCATTTCATGTTCGATCACACACAGCTATTGTAACTAGCTTTTTATGAGCAGACTGCTGTGTTGTATTAATTTTACTGCCTAGATCACTCTGTCTGTAATTCACTTTGAAATGCAAGAATTAATAGATGAGCCTGCATCAAGATTTTATGAGGGTTACTTTTTTCTGGGCTGTGTTCCAACTTGGTTGACGGATTTCTCTTCTGTGTAAAAAAGCAGAGTCCGCTGTAAAGTAGAGACAAGCAGCACCTTCTGGTTGTAATCCAACTGCACAATCGAAGATGGCTCTTCCAGTACAAGGCTGGAGTTGCAAATACCCTTTCAAAGACACACACAATTCACAAGAATCAAACCTTCCTAGAAATGCAAGGTGGTAACTAATACTTCAAAGACATTTATAAGCCCAAGAGAAAAAAACAAAACAAAAAGCTTTTGAACTCTTGTTGGATGAAATTCACTTAATGAATACAGACTTAATTTATGTAGGGAAGAGGAGAGTCAGATTGTGTGTCACACTCTATGAAATGCAGTTTCTCTTGGAATACTAGCTAATACATTTCCCTTGAAATCAACAGAAACTTTAGGACACATTTTCTTGCTTCTTCCCCACTGCCAGCTCATGCATTGCTGAGACAATCATTACTTTCGGTGATTTCTGTCAAACCAATTTGAGGGACAGTCACAGATAAATCAGGTGTTGTTGAAACTTTTCTCCCATTTAAAAATTCAAGTTATCATTAATTTTGTTGACATCTCAGGTCTGTATTAACTAACAAGATGTGAGAAAAGTTCCATTTACTGGTAACATGTCAGTCAGCCAGCAGCACCCAAATGTTACTTTCATTCTATGCTCTAGACTCTAGACTCGAACAATTCTGGGAGAAATACTTCACCAACAGAGCTACATCAGACAAAAATATCCCTTCCAAACAAAAGAGAAAATACTGGCTGAAAGCTGAAGAAAGATTTGGTAGTTATTTCATGAAAAATGAGAAGGATCACTACTTCTTTTTAAATGCATTACTTTTTAAAAAAGGTAAGGGAGTTCTGAAGGATATCCAGTGGTTGCCTTGCTGGGTGTGCACACACTGGGCCAAGTGTACATATACCAAAAAAGCCATCCAACTAAACACAAAACATTGAGCAATTAACTAACTGCTAAATATTTAAACACACCAGCATTCTTTCAGGAAGTGCAAATGCAAATTAAGGTCTCTATAACAAATGCCCACCTGGTCTAGGTCTAGTGCAGAGTAGACAATTTTTCCTTTGTCATCTCCAGAGAATAATTTCATTCCATTGGGACTCCAAGCTAAAGCTGTAATGCTACTTTTGTGGATGCCAGCAACATCAAATCTGCGAAGCTGTGAAACAATAACAAAGCAACAGAAGAATAAGCTGAAGAGAAAATGGATGCACAAAGCCTATTCAGTGATTCTTAACTGGCTTAACTGGAGATCAAGTACAAAAGTGCAGGTCCTTTTAAAGTTTACTTAGCACAGAAACCCCATAACAATCCAAAACCCCCCTCCACCAAAGAGAACAGCCAAGCATTACACATGACAAATCTCTCAGAAACATATTTGATTAAATACATCTTTTGTAATGCAAAGCATGCTTTAATATTATTGTTTTATAAACTTAACATATGAAGCCTAAAACATATTCACAGTTTTTTCATCAGGCAAGACTGGCTGGGTTTCATTCTTACAAAGGATCACAGTAACACTCTACTAGAACTGGCCATACCAGAGCTCACAGAGATTTAGGCAGATGAAAATATTTACCTGTTTGTTCCTTCCAGGTAACGAAGACACAAGCTGGAAAACTGCAACCCGACCTGAGGCTGTACCAACAGCAACCAGATCATCAAAACAACTCAACAGCTTTACAAAAGTTATAGATTCACACCTCCCCTGTTGAAACAAACCATACAAAGAACTCAATGAGACACCAACAGAGAGCTCAGTTCTGAGCAACTCGGCTTCAGCAGAACAGACAACTGTAAAAGTTTGGATTTACCTCAAAATTATATTTTTTCATCTGGTTTACATGCCTGCAGTAGAGATAAAGCATTCCAATGCTGCTCCCCACAGCAATGTAGTCTCCATTGGTATCAAGTGCTGTGAGGTAAACCACAATGGAGCGAAAGCCTTTCTGGATCTTTGTAGGAATGGCATTGAGGAGATAATACAAGGGACAAAATTCCTTAAATATTACTGGTGAAGCCACAGATGCCATAGCAAGGATTTGCATCAGCAATTTTAAGGCTGAAATAAACACATCTACATGACCACATAAGGAAATCTGAAAGACAAAAGCAAAAGACATGTCATTAACTTGTGTGGAGAGAGTAAAAGGTTAACATATAGCCCCAATCTAGCAAAAAAGAAGAAAAAAAATCAGATTTTGCTTTGCATAAAGAAACAGCAAGTTAAATTATTGTAGTGAATGTAACCTATTCTTAAGAGAAACTTTTTCTTACCAAAAAGTGTATTCCTTACGTTCAGCCAACATATAAGGATATATGGTAACCACTAAATATGGGTCAACCACTTTTTCTTGCATCTGTACATTTGTCAAAGTTGAGTTGGAATGCAGTGTTTCTTTTCATCTGCCTAGTGAAAAAACCATTAGGACTCTGACAATGAACAATCCATGTGATGTATTTCTCAATCTTTCTGTAGCCTCTACCCTCAATCCAACCAGTGCCCAAGAGCATGGGATATTACAGGGCTGTAAGATCAAAGCAACAGACTAGCATTTGTGCTCCACTCCTTAATGCCCCACAGCCCAAGAAAAAACACAGCTGAGAAGCAGCTCAGCTAGAGCTACATCTGCTGTACATTCAAACAGCAACCAAAAAATTAGAATAATGTGGGAAGAAAGGGGTGAGTAAAAACTTTAAAACTCCTATTTTGACAGACACAGGAAAATATCCATGTAACAACTGAATTGAGAAAGATAAGGAGCAAACAGGAAAAAAGCACCATATGTCCAGGTTTCCTTTTATGGATAAGAAAATAATTTCATGCTTGTGAGCAATACCGTAAATATACTTAGGGAAGAATATCTGTGAATAACAGAAACAAAGACTCTGTTTGCCTTCTCCAAGAAAAACAACCTAGTCAGAGCTCATCACAGTAATAACATACTGGCACCTTCAGAAAAAGCTGATCAGGAGGAACATAAAAATATGCAAAAAATTTAATTAAACCCAGCAATTTTTTCATCACTACAGTCTTGACAAGAACATTTAGCAGCAGCAACTGCTGCTTCTCCTCATGGGTGACTTTGAAACATGGAAAAGAAAAGAAGCCTTCACTTCTCAGGTTTTGTTTTGCTATGAGCAAGTCCAGTTAACAGAATGGTATAGTCTTGCAGTTTTCCAACACAAGAATTTTGGGTATCTGTAGACAGGAAAGTTTTTCATGGTTGTTTAGGATCTTCACATTGAAGATTTTGTTTAGCTTCAGCAGAGTTAGAACTTCCTTAGAGAAATAAAAAAAAAAAAAAAGACATCTGCCAATTGAAGTTAGAAATGCCTCCAAATGCTCACAATTATTCTGTGAAGTACTCCTACTGCAATTTGTAATATCTCCTATCGTGCCTTGTTTTTAATTCTCTAAGGATGGAAAATGTTTTTTTGTTTGGCAGCTTCATACATTGCTTGCAGTGTGTATCAACTAAACTAGAAGAAAAAAAAAAAAAAAGCTGTTCTAGTTTAATATCTCCATTACTGTGAAAAGCTCTGGTGCCTCACTTTTCCAACTCTTTCAGTTATTGTGCAAGAGCATTCAGCACATTCTCTTTGGGCCCTGCAACACTTGCTGTCAATATAAAACTGCACTAAGGCCAAAGGGACTGTTTGCATGACATCGCCTATGCATGTCATAGACAAGACCACAGGAATAAAGACTGGTTATTTGGCTTATATTTTATCTGGTACAAAAACTGCCATTAAGTACGCTAGCACCAATTGTTAAAAGTTCCTAACTGTGGTAAATTTTACTGCTTGCTAGAGTTTAGAAATTAATTCCACTCTCTTCCAATGTTTACAACCTGTCATGATGTATTTCATGAAATATCATGAAGACCAGCTGATACATGTGTCCAAACTATTTCTGAATAAAGAGCTCCTTTCAGAGATGTTTACTAAGTTAACAGATAACCTTAGCACATTATGACACTTCCACAATATTTTCACAAACCATTCATTTCCTATGCTATATTTTAAGTCTCTTACCCCTTCTTTCAGCATTTTCTGCTTTCTATCTTCAGTCAACTAAATATAAAAAGAATCCACTGTTAAAGTCTCATTTGCTGTTCTAAATGTGCTGTTTTGCCACTTCAGTAATTTTACTAGTCAATGGTGTTTTCTCTTTTCCCAAATAAAATAAAATCCAGCCTTGTCCTGAGTCTCGCATTTTCTAATCTTTCTCTGTCTAACCTCAACTTCTACCACTACCCAGCTACTGCCTCATGAATTCCACATATTTTGGTTTTTAAGTCCCCTTTGTGACTCTGGCAATTTACGTCTGTCAGCATTCAAAGCTGCTCTTGTAGCTGGAACCATCTCACACTCCTCAGTTACTAGAGGAACTTCCAAGCCCTCAGAATTCATCCTCTTTCTTAGATTCCACCACTTGTTCTTCCAGCTCAACTAAACCATTAAAAATAGAGTAACTGATTACCAGCTACAGAAATATGCAAATTTTTACTATCCAGAAAAATACTTCATTCCTCTACAATAACCCTGTCTGGTACCTGATGCATATTTTGGAAGTTTAATTAAAAAAAAAAAAAAAAAAGAGAAAAAAGGAAAGTTTTATAGAGTTTTTTCTTCCCACCCACAAAAAAACACAGGAGGAATTTTTTCTTGACACATACAAAGACAAATTTGAAAACTCCGCTATTAGGTAAGGGCTCTCACTCTTTATAGAATTTATATACAATCTCTGATGGCAAAGTAGTAAAAAAAAATTAAGATTTTGTTCTCTATAACACATTCACCCTGAACAATCAAAAAAAAGGAAAAAATTATCAATGAACTATAATTTTTTGACTAATTGTACACAAATTAGTTTCGTCTTGAGCTGTTTACAGACTAACAAAACACTTCTACTGATTGTGTAAAAACATATAAGTGAAAACTCAAAACATATTTTTATTAAAAATACTACTAAGATTAGGTAACTTTATCTACGCTGACCAAATGTATAAGGGACTAGAACATCTCCCATATGGCCTATACGTTCAAAATATCTGCACAAATACCACAATTCTCTGCTTTTGAGCCTAAAGTCTTCAATATCCCTCTGACAACAGCTGTGTATCACATGTAGTCTGTAACAGCTTTAGGATTAATTGTTATCTGTTTTTCCTACCTCATTAATCAAAGGCAAACAGCAGATATAATCTATTTTCTCAGGCAGATTTTGGAAATGGATGCATGTGTTCAGTCTGTGTCAGCCACAGTTATTCTGAAGTACATAACAGTCATATAGGGCAAATCAGCTTGTGCTAAGCAGCTGTCCTGCAGAGACAAAGTAGAGAAAAATACCACATCAAAAACAATCACCAGAGTCCCTCCTTCTCAGCCCTCAGACTTCACAAGTTCTTAAATACTGCATTCAAGGTCATGCTTTGAAAAGTAACTTTTTAAAAAAATTTCTTCTGGTCTTAGAAACAGGAATAAGGCTCAATGCTGCCGAACAGAGGCAACTGAAATGAGAGATAATCCTGTGGTTCAGCAGACAGGGAGCACCCAAAGGTTCAGTGCCAGGACATGCCACAGACACGATGCAGGAAACTAAAGCTGTCACTGCATCTCTCTGAGCCCAAGGGTCCTGTTTGTACTAGAGGGACAACAGCTCCATTTTTCTAAAAAATCTTTGACATTAAAACTTACATTTAAGTTCTTCGAAGCACAAACTCCCGTATGACCACAGCTAAACACAACAGCCTCTGTTCTCAGCTAGATCCTGCCAACTTAAGAGGAAAGCAGTTTTATTTCCTAATACTTCTCACACATTCAGCCCCAGAGCAGGCTGCCCCACTGCCACATCTCCAGAGCTTTTCACAGCACAATGCTGCAGAGCAGAGCACACAAACACACACCCTGCCAAAGGACCTCTGCTTCACGTGTCCTGCACACAGGTCATGGTTACCTGATTGACACACACTTGGCTTTACACAATTCATTAAATGCTGCATTTTAGGCTTGTGAGAGACAGAGCTCACTCTCTGAAATTTTAAAAGTTTAATACAGGAAAAAAGGGACAATATCCAGCGCTGGGGTGTCTGGCAATATGCCAAAACCACACAATTAGCTTAAAGCAATGTTCTTATATACTGTTACATATAAGGGGATACATATATATTCTTATATATAAGGGGATACATATATATTCATAAGAGTTTACACATATTCAAACATTCCAGTGAGTTTACACATTCTAGGAACTCTTTTGCTTGGTTTTAACCATTAACCTGTCTGCATGTCATCTTATAGATTGAATCAATATATTTTATTTCTTCTTGAGGCTCCATTCTGTTGTTTTGACACCACAGAGTCAGTAGTATATTTTTTCTCTTGGTGTCCTGGTTCTTGTCACTGTTATCTTATCATTCAGATAAGATGATGCACAAATCTGAGAAACAACATAGCTATTTCAGAACATCATCTGAGCTAGTTACATAAATAAAAGCATTTTAATATGATATAGTTTTTATTTTAATATGCTAAGGGCTAAGATACAACATATATTTATCACACTTATTTATATAAGCTATATGGTACATACATAAACTGACAGGTTGTATTATACCAAAAAAGCAGTTAAAAGGAAAAAATTGTACTATATACAATACAAATTGCATACTATATACAGTTGTATACAATACAATTGTATACTATATACAATTGCAAATTGTACTATATCAGAATCTTTGTGATCAATAATAACTTGCAAAATCTAATATCTAAATGCAAAAGCCAGTAACTACATTTGTCATTTATAACATGGCTCAAATGATGTTTGGTTTATTTCTCTGTGACATAATAAAAAACAATAACAAAACAAAACAAAATATCTAGATGAAGGATATGGAAAGGGTAGAAAAGGGGAACCTACAATGACTGCACATCCTTATAGAGATGGGAAAATTCAGCTGATGGTCTTGTGACACCCTACAAAACCTTCACAGAATCCTGGAATGGTTTGGGTTAGAAGAGACCCTAAAGACCATCCAGTCCCAACCCTCCTGCCGTGGCCAGAGTCACCTTCCACTAGACCAGGCTGCTCTGAGCTCCATCCAAGCTCGCCATGAACACTTCCAAGGATGGAGTACCCACAGCTTCTCTGCACAACCTGTTCCAGCGCCTCGCTACTGTCACAGTGAAGAATTTATTCCTAACATAAACCTGCCCTTCTTTCACTGTGAAGCCATTCTCTCTTGTCTTAACCCCCCCCTCCTCGTATGGATTTATTACACATTTTCTATTGAAACACACTCAGATGTTTCAAACCGCTCCTTCCCAACAGGTGCCTTCTCGCACCTGTGTGGCTGCAGCGCCTGTCAGAGAAGGACAGAGCCCGTGGCTCCCGGCCGGACACCCACGGGGCTGCCTCGCCTTCCCGCCGCCTTTACCTCGGCTTATGCCGGATTTACCGCCCAGACACAGAGCCCCGCCAAGGGGACAGCGACGCAGCCCCTCCGGGTAACGCAGCCGCCGAGCCCCGCCGGAGCCCGCCCCGAGCCCCCTCACCGAGCGCTGCCCGCGCCCCGGGAGCCGGCCGGGAGCGCCGCCCGCAACAGGCGCCCGCAGGCGGCAGGCCCCGCCGGCGGTGCCCGGAAAGGGGAGCGGGACCGGGCCGGCCCTGAGGGGACCCCCCGGTCCGCGGGGACGCGGCTGCACTCACCGCTCCGGGGGCGCGGGCTGCGGCTCAGGGAGCGCGGCAGGGAGCGGCGTCGCCGAGCCCCGAGGCGGCGGAGCGGCGGTGGCCCCGGTGCCTGCGCCGCTCGGGGGCCGGGCTGGGCGGGGCCGGACGTGAGCGAACTTCCGCGGGGCGGCGGGGTCGCCATGGCGGGTGAGTGAGGGGGGAGCCGGAGGGAGTGAACGCGGGAATAGCGGGGGACAGTCAGAGGCGGGGTCCCGGCGTTTGCCGGCAAACTAACGAGGTTTAAAGTGCCCGTGGTGCTCTGCCAGCCGCCGGGCTGCTGCTGTCACCCCCGGTGTGCACCGTGTCTATCACCTCCCTCATGCCCCGGGTGCAACGGGGGGGCCTCCATGTGTTTTACCACGTCTCTGTGTAAATATCTAAAGGGTGGGTGTCAAGAGAATTGAGCCAGGCTCTTCTCGGTGGTGCCAACCAGTCGGACAAGAGGCAGTGGGCAGAAATTGATGCACAGGAAGTTCCACCTGAAGATGAGGAAGAACTCCGTTCCTATGCAGTGACCGAGCCCTGGAACAGATGAGCCAGAGAGGCTGTGCAGTCTCCTTCACTGGAGATATCCGGATATCCCTGGAGAACCGTCTGGGCAATCCTGTGCCACGGCTCTGGGATGGCCCTGCTTGAGCAGGGAGCTTGGACCGGCTGACCCGCTGGGGCCCCTCCCAACCTGACCCATTCTGTGATTTTGTGTGGACTTTACATCTTTTGATGTGATGAACTCTTTTTGGGCATCTCTGTGGATAACAGTTGAAGCCAGCAAACATTCAGGCAGGACATTTGGCTTGGCTTTGAGCCCTGCTTTGGCTGCCAGGGCAGGGCCTGAGGTGCAAACGTGGGGCTGCTTTGTGTGATCAGAGGAGGTGCAGAGGGTTCTTACAGCTGTCTGCCCTCCAAGGAGACACCGTGAAACAAAGGCTTTGTGCTCAGCAGTAAAGCACCCACCACCTTCCGCAGGACTCAGCCTTTCCCCAAACTCTTGGAGCTCACATGTTGCTGTGAATTAATGCTGACATTCATGGCATGAGCACTGCATGCATGCACAGTAATTGCTGCCATGATTTCTCTCTGTCATACACTGCATTAGCATCTGTCTGTCATTTTATATCTGAAGACTGCTAGATCTGCCAGCACTACAAAGCCACTGCTGTCCATGCTGCAACTGCACATCTCAGAATGTGCCTGCACTTGTTTAATAATACGGTTTTCTTGCAGATAGCAAGAGATAAGGAATTAGATTTCATGACCAAAGACAGTTAATGTAAATTCCATTTTACTTTAATCAATATTTACCAGTAAAGCAAGGAAATCCTTCACACAAATAGCTGCTGGACACTGATTTGTTTCTGTATGCTTTAAATGGCTTCAATATCTTTATTTTCTCATACAGCAAAAAGTCCTCCTGATAGTACTCCAAGAAGGCCTGTTTTATCTGTCAGTGCAAGAAAAATTAAAGATAATGCAGCAGACTGGCATAATTTAATGATGAAATGGGAGAGACTGAATGATAATGGATTTACTACAGCAAACAAAATAGTCAACATGAGGATCAGTGAGCAGTAAGTATGCTAATACCCACGAATAAACATAGCATAAAGATTGCTTTTATTGAGAGATTAATCTGCTTTCTTCACTAGAAAGTTCTGTTGGGAGATGGGAAAAGAACATGTCACAGTGGATAAGCTAGCTCTTAGATCAAACTCAGCAGTTTCAATTTTTTGGTTACATAAACTATTTACATTCAAATAATGTCTCATACAGTAATGTTATTTGCAAGAAATGGGAAATTATTATTTTACATAGTCAAATGTAACATGTTTTAAATATTTACATAATGTACCAAGTTAAAATCTAATTCTATAAATCTCAGCCCATGTGAGTTCCCCTTACTCTCTTGCATGTTTTACAGTGAGGTGTAAAAAACTCAAGTCAAAAGTTCAGAAGATTTTAAGGAAGAATCAGTGATTTGTACAGACAAAAAGTTTTAATGATGACTTAAAACCAACAAAGAATCAACAAAAATACCACACCACAAGCACCATAAAAAAATAAAAAGAAATACACAGAAAAACTGAAAAAAAACCCCCTTTGGTAGAGCTTTTATTTTCATGCTGTAATGAAAAACCTTAACTAACAGGGCTGTGAGCAGCTTCTCCAGATTCCTGACAGCTGAAGAGGGTTTGTCTGACAGGGTTCTGACAGGTACAAGCTGAGGAATATTTTGCTGTAATGGTGCCAGATGTTGTTTTGCTCTTTAGCAGCTCTCTCTCTCCAGTCTAAGTTTACAGCTGGTGTGGGAAAGTCTGCCAGACAGGGCAGGTGTCTGCACATTGGCTGCTCTGGGGTCACAGATAAATGTCTTGGCTTAAATTTGCACAAAGGTGAGTTTGTGGTGGGGCACCAGATTGTCCTGTGGAACAGCTGAAGCCTGGCATATCTTGTTGGTGATGAGAGAACAACCTCCAGCACAGGGGCAAGGTAAAGAGGGAAAAAGTGTTATCTTAACACCTGCAAATGTTTTTTCAAGCACATGTTCTAAGGTAGAGTAGTTTTGTTTTTCTCTGAAGATTGTGGTACTAGCCCCATTTGCCCACATGGCCAGCTATGCATTTTGCTATTTTTATGTAGAAATTCTCATGAACAGCCTGTGAGTGAGAGATTTTGTAGGATCAGTCCACAAGGATTTTAAATCTGCACTGCTCAAGTAAACCTAAGTGTGCCTCATGTTTCTATTTTAGATTTCAAGACAACAAACTGGAGATAGTATGTGATAACAGTGCCACAGAACCTGAAAAGCCAGCCCCAAAATACAATGAAGAGCTGGACAACTGCTGTGCAGAATTACTTGAGACCTTAAAGCATATGGTAATACTCATTTTTCAGACTTAGTCAATATGAATCGATTCCAAGTAAGCTCAAGTAACAAGGAAATGTCCTGAAGTATTTATTGTAGGCAGAAAATTGGGATTTTCATTCATAGCTCTTTGGCTTCAAATCTAAATGACTATAAATCCAGAGTGCACCTTTTATTTGATTGGTAAATTTTAAAGTTGGGTTTACATCTTCTGTTGTCTTGTAGTTTTATAAAGGGATGTGGAAACAAATTGTACAAAGAATGCATTCCAAAGCTGCACCTGTTTTCTGTTTCTCCTCCTGGATATTCCCTCTGTTTAGAACAAAAGAAACAGCAAAGCATAAAGCAGTGCTCTACCTGCCATCATATCCTTGCAGCTGTCTTTGATCAGACATAATGCAATCATATTTTTAGCCTGCCTACCTGTATTTGCTGTGCAGATCTCCTTCTCTGGAGAGTGGAGTAAGATAATTATGTAACCCAACGCTTTTTCTGGATACCTTGCTAGGAATTAATGTCACCTGTCAGTTTGACAGGAAGCAAACAATTTTTTTCTGCCAGATACTGTAATTTAAAATTCTTACTAAAAATAACTTTTACAGCCTTTTGCCAAAGTGGAGGCCCATTAAAAGAATGGTAGATCTATTTTTTATGTAGACCGGATGCAGACCTCCAGTATTTAGAAAAAGCAGGAAACTGGCTAGGTTTCCCTCAGATTTTTTTCTGTGGGGAAAATGTTTGGGGATTTTTTTTTTCCTTGATGTACTCTTGTGTTCAGACTACAAATGCATTGATAAAGATTTTACTCTTCCTGAGGAACGGGAGTCTAAGCAGTCAATGTTAGATTGGATACTAAACATAGTTACTATTACCTAATTTATTTTTCATTCCTTAGGAGTTTATCTGAGGTTACAGGTTCATAGATGTATCTGTGGTTTAGCTGCTTGATGTAAAGATACTGCCTGCAAGCTCATTTTGGTGTAAATATTCATACCCAAATGCACAAAGTCATATGAACTTGAAGGAAGTCGATGGAATGACCTATTTTTTGAAGCAAGTTGATAAATCACCCTAGATGTATTGTCAGTAGTAGCTTGAGCTGCTTTTCTCACCTGCTGCTGATTTTTTGAAATTAAAGTCATCTTCATATGGTAATGTAGAAAAAGATCTTGACAGGGCTTGTGCTATACCAGTGTGATGTTTTTCCCCAGTGCTAAATTAGCCTCCTACAGGTAGCCTCTGTGTTGCTGAGGTGAAAAAATGAGAGGGCTTTAGTATATTTCTACATGTGGGAAACAAAAGAATGTCCAAAACAGAGTCATTTCTGCAGTGTTCAAAATTTCCAAGTATCTCAAATTAAGTCTGTATATAGATTCCAGTTTTGATCCCTGTCTGGAGTTAAAAAAACATGAGTTAGAAATGTCAATATTAAATAGCCTTCGTAAATAGTGTGTTTGCAAAAAATGCTTGATATTCATTAACATTCCATGTTCATCGTTTTAAGACAAAAATACAACTGAAAATGGAAAAGCTTACTTCTACTACTAAAGCAATCTGTGACTTGGAAACATTCCACCATGGAGCTGGGAATTGCAAGGCTCCCTTCTTTCATACATGGCCCACACCATACTTCTGTAAGTAAAATATCGATTATCTTAGCTAATTACATTGTGTCATCAGTGTCATCCAATTTATGACTGAAAAATAAGCCCTCTTATCTGGATGTCTTGCTTGAGAGGGAGAGAGTGCTGTCTCCTTTACAACTGACTAATCAATAAACACATTAATGCATCACTTGGTTTAGGGTTACTGCTGATGACTGCCAAGCATTGTCTGACATGCAACAATTACAGCATAGAACTAAATTTGTCAGCAGCTTACAGTGTCCATGCTGCAACAGCCACATTCTCTGCAGGAAGAGATGAATTTGCAGCTTGCTGGTGTTAAGCTGCAGGCTTAACTACTTGACTTGTTACTTGACATTGAAATTAAATCCTTGAATGGAAAG